CACAAAAGAGATATGCCAAAGTTGCACTCAACCTGTATACGTACATTGTATAGCGACAAGCCTAATGTTATAAACATGAAAATTTAACTATCTCAAGTGGAGAAATAATGTATCCCATTCGATGCAGTGGTATAATCTATATAATATACTATGTATATGTTTGGGATTTTTCACAATGCAATTGCCTTGGTTGCCTCATAAATAAAATGTACATGTACCCCCTTGAAACCTTTTACTACATTACAAGCTTGGTACATGTATCTTTAACATGTTTGATGACTGTATACAAGACAAATGAATCTTCTTGTTTGTTGCAAATGTAGTTTTAAATGATTGGTACTTAGTAATATAAATAAATGTATAGTTTACATCTGTACATGTTTTTATAACTTTATATACATGATATAAAATAGATTTAAAAAAAACCTTATAAATTTTGACTTCATAGTACATGTATGTATTTCAAATCATTTAACTTTGAGAATCACAGGTTATTACAAATTCAAACAAAAATTCGTCTGTACTCTTCAATATGAATATTACACACTGGGCATTTCACATTAGTCCTTGATCTGAACAGATTTTCAACACAAAGCCTACAAAAGTGTAAATGTCCACATGGAAACACTGCAAAATTTCGTACATTTTCTATACATATTATACAAAGTTGTTGATTGTCATCTAAGTTAATATTTTCAGGATTATCTTCAGCGTGTATTGGATCATTCTGATTGGTCCTTAATACTGGTAAATTATGTTGTTGTCTGTTTAACAGTCTCTGTCGAACTTCGACGAGTCTGTTTTCCATGTTTTCATTTTCCTGATCATTTTGATCTTCTTCATGTCCATGGTCATTTCTTTGTCTATTCTGGACGTTTCTAGGAACTGTTCTTTGTAGAAAAATTTGGACAACACATAACAAAAAAGTACACATAATCATGATCCAGCTCAACAGCGTTAAAAATGGGTTTCCTCGCATATAAATTCCTCTCCATATCTCTGAATACATCCATTTAAAAAAAGAACACACAACATAAATTGGTTTGCTCAAATATGGCATACAAATAGAAATCAGTGTCACCAGAAAGGAAAATATATGAAATGCTAAGTAAACACATACTTCAAATATGTGGAACATGAAATGCATCCATGATAAAAAGAATTTGATGACCTGTTTAACAATTGGAACCAGTGCAATGCCAGCTGGAATAAGCTGATAACACCAGAAAATCAGTTCATGTATCTCTAGTGTAAAAAATAAAAATCCAAATATTGAAACTAGTGAAAAAACACAATAAAGAAAACATAAAGTCAGCATCTTGTGATTGTGAATTAATGTCCTATGTACAGTCCAAAACGTCTCATAGGAGTCTATTTCATTTTTTTAAAATTTCGAACTTATTTCGCTTAGTATTGAAATGCTTAACTCAACTATTAACACTATACAATTAGCTTAGCGGCAGATTACATCAACAATAGAGAACATGCAACATTCGAAGTTTGTCAACAAAATCTAGTTGTATATAAAATAAGTATTCAGTGTCCGACTATTCAAAAGACTGCACTATTCAACACTGAACCAAGTTTTTTTTAAAGTACAGTTCATGGTCAAAAACACTAATATGATTTTAAAGACAACTTGTTACTTACAATAATGATGTTTTAAAAGAAATTATATGAAAAGGGAAAGCGTGGCCGGAAGCACAACTTGGTAGAAGCATTGAACCGGCTTTGAACTGAAATAACTCGGCCAACACTGAGATCAAGTTATTATGAGGGTATGAATGCCCTTTACCGTCAGCAGAGACATATAATACAATTGTATTATATGTCTCTGCCGTCAGGCATCAAACGGTCATTTTCGGCTACCGTTAGGTTAAAATTTTACCGTGATTCGTCAACATATCCTTATCATGATTCGTCAGAGGTCCCAAATAATTATCGTTACCGTTATTTTTGGAAAAAACTTAACGTGATTCGTCAAAATTTGTCGATCTGTTTATCGTCTTGAAGAAAGTCTTCATTTTATCGTCATGCACCAAAAATTGCCGTTAACGTCATTTGACAAGATTTTTTACCGTTATTCGTCATGAAGGTACCCCCATTACCACCCTCTATTATGTGTTCTAGACAGAGTCCAAAATTACAGAAACCGGTTAAAAAAACCTGGGTAAATATTATGTCTCTGCAAGGAACTGTATATTTAAATATACAATTCCTTGGTCTCTGTAAATATACAAAATTTTATTTGTAACACCACTGACAATTGTATTTGTATTGCGGCACTGAACGATATTTGTTGATTGAATATTGAAGATAATTATAGAAAAAATCAAGTTGTTGGTTTAAACAGACTGTTAAGTTCAGTTTTTAAAATGCCGGATTGTATGATTCTGGCGCGTGTATAAGTGTATTCGGACGCTAGTGCTATATGTTAAACGTGTTAATTGGGTGCGGTTATTTTAGCAATTAAACGGGGGACGCGTATCGCTATCGATGTTTCACAGTGTCACTGATACTGTTTTACCTGAGGGTAAAGCCGCATATATTGCCCTATCAATAACAATGAATTACGCTTTAAGTAAAGGAACCAATATCTTATGTTTTTGTTGTTTAAATCACTATTTATTCAAAGGAAAGTTGAAAAAAATATTTGTTTTAATTCCCTTTTTATAGACTAGTGTGTACATTTATTCATACACCACGATGAACAATCTGGAATGCTATAACACATATAAGCAGATACTAGTATCTTTCTAGTTAGTATTCTCAGGACGAAATATATGAAAATCTTGCTTGATTATACCAGAAACTTATAAAGTTTCTGAAACTAATCGGATGACATTAAAGGAACTGTATTAAGTTAGGGAGCTACCATTTGATTTTTAGGGGGAGGGGGCTAGGATGAAATTTGAAAAAAAGGCAGGACAGGAGTTTTGAGTAAACAAAAAAAGGTAGGATGAGCAACTATGCAAAAAAAAAAGCAGGACAATTTATGTAAAAAAAGTCAGGATAAACTAATTAAAAAAAAGCAGGACAATTTATGTAAAAAAAGTCAGGATAAACTAATTAAAAAAAAGCAGGACCGAATAGAGTGAAAAACAAAAAGGCAGGACAGAGATTACAACTTAAAAAAAATGCAGGACAAAAGTTTTCACCCTAGCCCCCACCCCCATAAAAATCAAATGGTAGCTCCCTTATTACAGTAGATCTATACCGAGTCAAATCCACGGGATTACACAACCCGCTACACCAAACATATAATACATGTCTCTGCCTATACACATGGTCATTATGTTCCATGACAAACCAAGGATTTGTATAGAATATAATAGAATAGAATAGAATATTTTTATTTCACAAATTACATGGCCCATAAAGGGCATAAAATCAGATACAATTGATTTACATAATTGGTAACAACAACAATAATAGTCACTTGAAAATATATATTTAGTATATTAGCATTGGTCAGAATCAGAGCCAAAAACCACATATATATTGTGAATAAAAGAATAAATTTACATTATATGCATTCATTCTCAAATCATTTACTTGACTTAGTGTCAATATGCATACCTGATCTCCTTAATTCAAAACAGTCACAAATATAACAGCCCAGTTTTTCCATAAGAGTTACATTTTCTTGAGTCAAGAGCCATAAAAATTTAGAAGACTTATTTAAATTTTAAAAATTATAACAATTGTCAGATATGTATAGACAAAAGTCTTCCCTTTGAGTATCATAAAGAGGACATTCTAACAAAAAATGAAGCTCATCTTCAACTTTACCAAGTGAGCAATTTGAACAAAGACGCTCAGATCTTTCTATATATTTTTTTGAATATCTGTCTGTTTCAATTTTTAAAGAGTGAGCACTTATTCTTAATTTACAAATTGACTGTCTTTTTTTTAAATCCTGTAGTTTTAAATATTTTTCTTTTTTAAAACAATTTTTTTATAGAAAAATAAGTACCAAGCTTCCCTTTTTCAGAGTTAATTGTTTGATATTTCAGCCTATTCCAAAATGTTAAATAACTTTCACATAGTTTATTTTTAACATACTGACATAAAGAACCAATTGATTGGTCAAAATTTGGTAAGTCAATCTCTCTCTGAATATAATCTATACTAGAGTACCATGTATTTACATTAGAAATATGTAATTGTTTACAACAGATGAATGCATCAAATAATAATCCTTCTTTCAAACCTTCCAGTCTATGACAATATTTTAACATTGATAAAATTATAGTAAAATAAATAGGAAATCTACCAAGCTCTGACATCACAGCTATGTTACTGGACTTTCTGTTTACACCAAGAATATATTTCATAAATTTGTTATGAGCTTTTTCAGAGGAATCCTGACCAAAAACTTTTTCCAATATATAATCATTATCTTTTTTACAAGCAGCTGAATCAGTACGAAACATTCCCAATATTTCACTGCCATATAATAGTATGGGTTTAATTGTGTGATCATAAAGATGTAAAAAAAGTGGCAATACTAGGGTTAGATGATGACAAGCATCTCTGTAGCTTAAAACATGCTTTTAAAGATTTGTTGTATAATTCATCTTTACACTGCTTGAATATACCACTAGATGTAAATGTGATTCCAAGATATCTATACAATTTTGCACATTCTATCTCTTTACCTCCAAAATGTAAACAGCATTTTAAAAATTTTCCTGGCTTGTTAAAAATTTGTTTTTTGAATATCTGTCTGTTTCAATTTTTAAAGAGTGAGCACTTATTCTTAATTTACAAATTGACTGTCTTTTTTAAAATCCTATTAGTAAGATATACAAATCCTTGGACAAACAATGTTTTCTAATGGATAAAATTATTCACCATTGCACTGAATTTATTGTAGCTTCATAACAAAATTTACATTCAACATATAGTCGGAGGATTTCGTAACGGCCTGTCTAATCGATGTCCAGGTTTAGTCAGACATTATTTAAACTCAGCTCTATACATCGTTTCCGGTTAGAAATAGGAAAAAAACTAAATAAAAGTATCAACAACAGAAAACGGCCTTATGCTACTAAAACGAATGCATAAACCCATCTGATCATGAGGACAAACCGACAATAGATGAATAGACTTTCATATTAGTATAAAAAATATGAAGTAAAGAATCGGAAACTCAGGTTTGAAGATGAGTATATTGGCATACATTCAAACTATTTATGATTCCGTGGGAAGCTTTGCATCGTATATTTATACATTTATCATCAGTTTAGTGGAATTTAACTTCAAGGCTGTGACAGTTACAGTTGAAACTTTCCAAGATATTATCACAACAGCAGTGAACATTTTTAAAGTTATAAACAGCATCCTATCAAACGTCATATCCTCTGCATTGGACTTTTTGGTAGAAATATTTGGACTCCTGCATGCATTTGTTTTAGTACTATGGAAGTTTATGGTTTTCCTTGGGTCTGTTCTGTACTCAATATATCAATGTATTGAGATATTGCTGCATTTTATTGCAATTAATGCAGTTTGGCTCTTGCGCTTATGTACCAGTGGTGCATTTAGTGGCAAAGAAATCCTTATAAAGATATGTAACTTAGTGTCATATTATGCAGTTATAACCTTCAATCAAATAACTGTTGGAATATCAACGATTGGAACAAGTGGCACTGAAGGAATTGTTACCTTATTTAAAACATTGAAATGGTGTTTATCATCATTTTGGTTGAACATTGACAGTGGAATGATGGCATTTGCTGAGGGCATAAGATATGTCACAGATTCAATATATTACAGCATGATTGACTTGATATACCTGAAACGAGAAACATACATAGGTCTAATATTTTGCTTACTTGTGTTTTTGGTACTTGCTAATGTGTTCAGATCTTTAAAGCAACGTGGTATGACCTTCCCTGGAATTCAGGAAAACTTTGAAGCTCAATATGCAAGAGTTAGACCTAATTTTGGATTTGATTTCTCAGACAATGAAGAGGATGAATCTGATGGGCAGAATGAAGATGAAAGTGACATCACAGTGGCATCATCTGAAGGCGACGATGATGAAGAGGTCGAAGAGTATGAGGTAGATGACTTGACAACAGATGATGAAGAGTTGTCAGACAGTGATTCTAATGCATCAATTGATATTCAGTTGCCTCCAGTAAATAGTGCTAGTTATAACTTACGTAGATCAACCACACCTTGTAGTGGAGGCATCAATACATCAGAAGATTTCCAAAAAGAAATTGAAAAGGAGAAGGAGAAATTGAAGTGTGTTGTATGTCAGGATAATGATAAATCCGTTTTAATTTTACCATGTAGACATTTGTGTTTGTGTCTAAGTTGTGGAAATACAATTGCAAGATTGAGAAATGTTGATCGGAGAGTATGTCCTCTCTGTAGGAAGAGAATTGAAACAATTATGAATGTCTATACATAGTTCATTAAACAATGCATGGTTTTATTTTGTATTCAGATGCATTTATTAATATTCACATTCATTACACATAATTAGATCAAGATAGATTTAACTGTAAATTAAGTAGCCCATCAATATAGCCATCTATGTTTAATGCACAAAACTTGTACATGTATCTGTGTATATGCACATGACATATGTACTGGTATACTTTTTGTGTGAAATATTAACATTACTTAACATGACTTACATGACTTAGGTCAGTTTGATTATTAAAAGCTGTGAATGAAAGAACTATTTTGAATATACATTGTACATGTAGCAAAATTAAGAGCTTTATACCCCACTGATCTCAATGAAATAAAATTGATGGACGTGAGCAATTCATGATCAAAGTTCATCAATTAATACATTCTTACATTATATTAGTGTACATGGTGTTTATCTGTGCTTTATGTTTTATATGCCATAATGTTCTATTTACAAATGTTTACTTATAAGATATAACATAATTGCTTTCATTAACTTTTGTCTTTCTATCATGTTGATCGTCCTGAACATGCATGAAATATTTGCCACTGGACATTATGCAACCTACAATCAATCAATCTATCATGTTGTCGGTTCGTACATCGTTCAGATAACATATATAGCAGCTGTGCATCATCAGTCAGGGGTACTACTAAAACAAGTGATTTCAGAATCACTTCTTCAAGTGATTTTGGCTGTGAAATATTAAAAATTTTCACAAAAATAGACACAGACTTTTTAAAATCACTGAAACAAGTAATTTGAGAAGTTAAAATGTAATCACTTCAAAAAGTGTTTATAACATTTTCTTGATATTTTTCCCACAAGGTTGATTTTTTTATTGGTAAAAAGACAAGAATTCCATTGAAAAAACAACTATATGTACATGCACATGATGCAGAAATTGTCTTTTGCTTGATAAGCCTGTCAGTTTATACAGTTTATTTAAAATATGCAAAACCGGAATAATTTGTAGATCAGGACATAACCTTGAAGTAGATCATTCTAACTCTAAAGAAAACCAATCAGGTTACCTAATATTGTTGACCTTTTCTGATAGTAAAAGTAGTTAATTAATATTTGATTACAGAAAAATCCCCAAGGGTACTTTTAAAAGCTTTAGGCACTAACTTACTGCCCAAGCGCACTGGTGAAATTAATATACAAAGAAAAAGGGATAATTGATCTATGTAGGAAAATTATAGAGAAATTTGTCAAAATATGGAAAATCAATGAAATTAGCATTTGAAGATCAAAGGAAACACAAAAATCACTTAAATAGGTGATTACTGAATTTATCAAATCACTGAAATAGGTGATAATCATGATAATGAAATCACTTGTTTAAGTAGTACCCCTGACTGATCATTATATGAAATTTAACAATATTTTAAACAATATTATATTGCTGAGTTCTCAGGTGTAATGCCTTTTTGTCTCGCCTCAACAAAGTTGGTGATGCAGTTGTACATTGTATAACATGTATAAAAATATATCATACCCATGAAGATTTGTTGGCCCTGCTCCCTTAGCCATGGTCTATTGACTGAATCTTTTGCATAGTTCACATGTTAAAAGTTTGTGATTAGTATAAAAATGAGGAGATGTGATATGATTGCCAATGAGACAACTAGAGTCAGTTTAAGATGAAGCAATTGTGGTTGGTCAATGATATTTGGCATGCAGCTGCATTAGCATTAGCACATGTATATCTTTCCATTTGGATTATATAGCCCGGCCCCATCAGTCATACATTTTAGTCAATGATATTTGAATAGTTGTGTGTATGTTCTATTATAATTAGAGTATTGCCATTTAAATTTCAACTTTTGCATTATACTATCAAAATACATACAGATGAGGCACATCTCTGTGTCAACAGTTCATTTTGTATTTCTCTCAGTATTTTAAATTGAAGATTAAGTCTGAACAATTCTTCTAAACATGTATGTCTGTTCTGTGGTCGGGTTGTTGTCTCTTTGACACATTCCCCATTTCCATTCTCAATTTTATGTGCCATAGTTAAGTTGAATAGTGCTGAAAACTAGCATCACATTGATTTGAAATTGTGAATCATGTACCAATATAGAGTGACAATGTATACTACCTACTCATATGTCTGTTCAATAAAACTTTTAGATTAGTTTTCCTTGCAGCTTTCTCAGTGGCTTTAAGATTTGGCTAAATATTTTTAATTTATATTGTACACTGGAATTATATTAAAGTTATGAGATAAGGGAAATATGTTAATACTTCAAATATACATATAATTATAATAGGGTTAGGGTTTTTATATATAATTATGAGATGGTGTAAGTGTGTAATACAATTTTCATGGCTACTTGGTTGCTGTTCGAGGGTTACAATATCTGCTCTTTATATTTTATCTATTGGTCATACTGTAATTTGATGTGGCAGTTTCATCATTTGTTGTATTTGAACAATAAAATGTACATGTAATTGTACATCGTATAGATTTGATCTGACCTTTCATGACCTTTTTTTTAATGAAGTATTTGAAAAAAAACCTTTCAGTTTATAGTTCTTCTTTATTTCGTTTGAAAAATGAATAAAATGAACTCAGGTTGATTGTCTCATTGGCAATCATACAACATTAACTTATTTTTATAAATTTTAGGCCACCCTTACAAATTCTTTGTTTGATGTTGCCTACCCATACCTTGTAGGATTTGGTAGGTAGGTAGGATTTTTTCTTTTTGGCCAACAACATACGTTTAATGTTTTAGACAAGAAAACTATGTTAGAGCATGAAAAAAAACTTTTAAAAAAAAAGTAGAAACGGAATTGTGTCATAAAATTTTTCAGGTATGCTGCTTTTTCAGTGGGTAGGTAGGCAACATCAAACAATTTAAATTTTATTTTTGGCCTAACAGTAGTTTTTATACGACCGCAAAAATATTTTTGTGGTCGTATATTGGTATGACGTTTGCGTCGTCGTCTTCGTCCAAAGACACATTAGTTTTCGCACTCTAACTTTAGTTTAAGTGAATGGATCTCAATGAAATTTTACCATAAGGTTCAATACCACAAAAGGAAGGTGGGGATTGATTTTGGGGGTTATGGTACCAACAGTTAAGGAATTAGGGGCCAAAAATAAGCATTTTTGTAACTTCCAGACATAACTTGTGTGTAAGTGTATGGATCTCTCTGACATTGTACCACAAGGTTCCATATCACAAAGGGAATGCTGGGATTGATTTTGGGGGTAATTGTCTCCAAATTTTAGGAATAAGGGGCCAAAAAGAGGCAAAAAACAAGCATTTTTCTAGTTTCATGACAATAACTTGTGTGTAAGTCTATGGATCTCTCTGACATTGTATCACAAGGTTCCATATCACAAAGGGAATGCTGGGATTGATTTTGGGGGTAATTGTCTCCAAATTTTAGGAATAAGGGGCCAAAAAGAGGCAAAAAACAAGCATTTTTCTAGTTTCATGACAATAACTTGTGTGTAAGTGTATGGATCTTTATGAAATTGTACTACAAGGTTCCATATCACAAAGGGAAAGCTGGAATTGAGTTTGGGGGTAATTGCCCAAAAAGTTTAGGAATAAGGGGCCAAAAATAAGCATTTTTCTAGTTTCTGGACAATAACTTGTGTTCAAGTGTATGGATCTCTCTGAAATTGTACTGCAAGGTACCATACCACAAAGGGAAGGCTGGGATTGATTTTGGGGGTAACTCCCTCAAAATTTTAGTAATTAGGGGCCATAAAAGGGCAAAAAAGCAAGCATTTTTCTAGTTCCAGGACAATAACTTGTGTGTAAGTGTGTGGATCTTTATGAAATTGTACTGCAAGGTTCCATATCACATAGCCAAAGCTGGGTTTGAGTTTGGGGGTAATTGCCCTAAACGTTTAGGAATTTGGGGCCAAAATTTTTACAAGCATTTTTCTAGTTTCCAGACAATAACTTGTGTTCAAGTGTATGGATCTCTCTGAAATTGTACTGCAAGGTACCATACCACAATGGAAGGCTGGGATTGAGTTTGGGGGTGATGAATCATAAGGGGGTTCAAAAAATTTTGGGGGGGGGATTTTTTTTCCTTTTTTTTCTTTAAAATTTTCCATTTTAAATTGGTTATTTCTGATTTATATATAAAAGCAAATAATAATGATATGGTTTGAATAGGTAATTTAAAAAATTTTAAGTTCTTAGACCACTTTCATTCTGTGTCAGAAACCTATGCTGTGTCAAATATTTAATTACAATCCAAATTCAGTGCTGAATCAAGCTTGAATGTTGTGTCCATACTTGCCCCAACTGTTCAGGGTTCGACCTCTGCGGTCGTATCAAGCTGCGCCCCAGCGGAGCATTTTATTTAATTTGGAATACATCTGCTGGATTTTATCAAGTATTAGTAATGGTTCATCTGTATGTACAAATGCATCTGTATAGGGATGAAAGCTCATCAGACAATTAATCAAACCTCCATAATTGATGATCATTTACAGATTCTTTGTTGAAAATAATCTTACACTTGACATGGAAACATGGGATTGTGGATACATATTTCTTCATGTATTATACTTTTGAGCAAATTATTCTGTTGCTTTAATGATTATGTATTAAAGATTTTAGCTGTGTTCAGTAATATGAGAAGTGTATCTGTAATTTTTTGTAAGTTTGCTGTTATTTGTTAAACATTTAGAAATGGTGCTGTTTATATATCATGTATATTATTGTGTGGTTGTTGGTTGTTGAGTTGCTTGTAAGATTAAGAACATGCTATACTTTCAAACTGGATTTGTGTGTTTTGTGATTGAAGATTAATTGCTGTACATTATTCACTACTTTAAGAACAATCATCATTTTACCAAGACTGTATTCAAAATTAAAATGTGCATTGTTAGAGTGACTAACTAAAGTTTTGAATGATTTTGCTCAAAATAAATTATTATAACTTAGAGTTATCTCCCTTTGTGCTACTTTTCCATGTTATATAGTTTATAATAGTGCAATTATTTGTCATATTTTACAGACAACTTTTTCTATCCCAAGATGGTACAGGAGTTGGAGGTTGGAATTATTTTAATTGAAATCTTGAAAATTCTAGATAATTGAATTCCTATCAACAAGGTGCAGGAAATACATTCAATGTGTTAACTATGGATCCATTAAAGATAAGTCTTTCCCATTAAGTGTAGAAATTAAAAGTTTTTCTTCAACTGCATTTTAGGTCAACATTTGCAACATAAACAAATGTTTTTTTGGGGGCTGTAATACAACACCAACATTTCTAGTAACTGGTACTCAGCTGCTTATTCCTGTCTAGTTTGTTAATTCTAGTAGTAATAAAATATGGGACATCACTGTTGCCCTTTGAAAAATAATTGTCCTCTTGTAACCATAAATATATTGCCCTCTTGTAACCATATATATATTGTCCTCTTGTAACCATATATATATATTGCCCTCTTGAAACCATATATATATTGCCCTCTTGTAACCATATATATATTATACAAGAATCAAACACAGCACATGTTTCTGGAATAATCTTTATCGGGTACAAAGATGTAGGAAACCAACAGTTTCAGAACAAAATTTAAAACAAACCTATGAAATTTCAAAATTAATAAGATTTTAACAAAATATTGAAAAACTGTCTTTGAGCAACTTTGCCAGAATAATTCCATCCTTAGTTTTACCATACAATGTTATTTTATAAGCTTATAATATTGATAAGCTGAACATATTTAGTCAGAGTGTGTCTTGTATTTATAACCTGCACTGCAATAGTTGCAACTTGCTATAGGCAATACCAACAGGGACTTACAGTGGTACCTACTAGTTTGTAGTAATATAAGAGTAGCAGTATCTATACATAAATTTCCATTTGTTTACATCTAGATCAGGGAAAAAAAAAAGAAATTTTTACTTTACATCCACAGTTTAATAATGGTTTGTCTCTCATTGTTATATCTGGTCCTTTTTTATACGCCCGTTTACGGGACGTATTATTGAATATGTGCATATTCATTATTTTGTACATAAATTAGGCCTTTAGTTTTCTCGTTTGAATTGTTTTACATTTGTAATTTCTGGGCCTTTTATAGCTGACTATGCGGTATGGGCTTTGTTCATTGTTGAAGGCTGTACAGTGACCTATAGTTGATAATTTCTGTGTCATTTGGTCTCTTGTGGAGAGTTGTCTCATTGGCAATCATACCACATCTTCTTTTTATATATAGCTTGTAAAAGAAAAGTTTATGCAAGTTTAATTACAAGTATTCTGTTCATGCAGTCTAGAACCACAGTTTGTCCTCTTTTGATGAAACTTTTTCTGTCAGTCCACCCATCCTCATTAGACGTTTTCATTTGTGTAAGAATGTTATAACTATAAGATAGAAGCATATATATAAAAATAAGAAGATGTGGTATAATTGCAAATAAGACAACTCTCCTCCAGAGACCAAATGACATAGAAGTTAACAAATATAGGTCACTGTATGGCCTTCAACAATGAGCCGTAAACCCATACCACATAGTCAGCCATTAAAGGCACCAAAATGACAAATGTAAAACAATTTAAATGAGAAAACTAATGACCTGATTTATGTAAAAAAAATGAACGAAATACAAATATGATATACAGCAACAAACAACAACCATTTTATTACAGGCTCCTGACTTGGGACAGGCACATACAGAATGTGGCAGGGTTCAACATGTTAGCGGGTGCCCAACCCTCCCCCTAATCTGGCACAGTGGTGTAATAGTACAAACATGAATAAACTATAAAAATCAATTGAAAAGGGCTTAACTCATCAGATCGATACGAAGCACAAAAATACAGACTGGACGTGGCAGGGTATTTATACATCCCTTCAACAAAAAAGACACTAAGTACAGATCTGAGCGTACTCGCAGTTACTGACAGAGGGGTGGACAGGGGGTACCCTTCTCCCACCTCCCACATTTAGAATTTTT